TCTCAGAGCACACATGTTGTTTTATGGATTGTCTGTAAATGACACAGATTTTCCCCTCATTTTTCACGGGCGTACCGGGAAAGTCTCACGGATTATTTCAAAAACTCAGACTTACGTCTAGGCGACAGCCCACCCACAGGCTGTTGTGGGGTATTTCTGTATTTAGAGACTCCTACGTTCTACCAGGGGCTTCACGTTTAAATGCTGGGGGGGTCAAATGGTTGTGTAGGTCTTTCTCTTTTGATTGGCACCTCTTTTGACCAACTGGGTCGATGTATGTCTCGCCAGAGGAAAGAAAAGTGATTTTCCTGATGAGGATAAGTCTAAAAAAAGGCGAGTATTGAGGCATTTTTGGAGCGCTTTGGACTCYGGATTACGAAGTGGGTGAAGAAGAAAGACATTCTTCTTGAAAAGTAGGTGGAAGCCCTTTTWTATCCCGCTGCTCAATATGTTGTTTAGCTGTAAATACTTTTGGAAAAGGAAATAATTGGTTCTTTGTCATGTTTGAGCTGTCTGTGGTGGGGTCTGTATTTATTCCTGAATCTTGAGTAAAACTGCCATAATTGTTGACTTTAATGTTCTCACCTAAGACACTAAATTCGTATTCCTATAGTGAGATGTTTACTGGATTGGGCCGTGTACATGTGCATATTTTTGTTGTTGTAAATAAAGTTTGTGTCGTGTGAGTTTAATAGGATTTTTTATTCCATTTTATGGATTTCTGAAGGCCAGTATGCAGGTAGCCATTCAAAAGTACTACCTCATCAAATTGTAGTGTAATATCTGTAAAACAGGCTGAGCTGGTCACTTTTTAAATTTCATTTCATTTCTTTATTTAACCTTTATTTAACCAGGTAAGTTGACTGAGAACAAATTCTCATTTTCAACAAGTACATGTTCAGAAAACATTAAAATGTTGAATTTTTGCGTGTGTCAAAGTGGCCATCTTGAATGAAGCTGAATAAAAARTGAATCAGCTGACGTTCACCCTTTGACAGTTTCWTTCAAATTCATTAGTTTATRAGATATTTTGCWAACATTWCAAACACAGAGACGGCGGTTAAAGCAATGCACCCTTCATCAATGCACAATAAAAGGTAAAGGAGAAAAATTAAGAATAGAGTGAAGCTAAACACTGAATGAATGATGAGAGGATGAAGCTTTCAGGGAAAGAAGAGGGAAAACAGGCAAAGAATGAGGAATAAGTAGTAAAGCAAACAGGCAGCTCTTATTTCAAAGCAGGCCGTGTTTGTTGAGRACTCCCTGCTGATGAATTCACAACAAATCTCATGTCGGCTCGTTCAGCATCTGAGAGCAAAAACTGAACAAAAACTGCTGAAACTTCCAGAAGTGTATTTTCAAGGTTTAATGTTGTGCATTTATTAAAAACGACTGCATTGCTTGTTTTAAACAAGCCGAGGATTGTGTGCAGTCATCCTCTCACCACAACCTGCTGCTTTTCTGCTCCAATAACTTCACAACCTGAGAGCAGAAAGTGTGAAYGTGTGAGATGAGTAGAGGAACACAAACAGATCCTCAGCAAAAAAAAAAAAACAGGATGAGTTCAGTGTTTACGAGTCTCTCAGAGGTGACTGCATGAGTAGTTTGGACACTAGATGCAAGTTTATCAAACAAATGTTGGATCACATAAATTCTCATGTGAACACACAAAATGTCCAGTCAAAAAATTAAAGGGGCAATATAATGTAAAATCAACTTTTTTGAGTTTTATATCATGTTATAATGTTCTGCTCTCATAAAAAACATGTCCAAAGCCTTGCTTTGACTCATTCATGCATGTCTGAGGAATCCTGCAGCGTTTTTAGGAAGCCATGCTGAGGAGCAAAACGACAGGTGGGGACCAGGAACGCCTCTGGGACGTGTCTTTAAGCCGAAATTCCTCATGGCAGAGCGCACCCCTCCCTCCCCACACACCYCGCCCATRACTCCTGCAGGYCCTCGGRWGAAACTGAAAGTGAAACTTAACTGTCTGCTGAGCTCTCAACATTAGTTCTCACTCAGTGAAGCTCTTTTCAGATTAAAAATAGCTTTGAGGAAATGTATTTTCAGATGCCAAGTAAACTGCATCATGGCGCACGCGCACCCCCACCCCCCACCCCGAACGGGACAGAACAGAAGCAGTAGGAGGTTGTTAAAGAGACAGGCCAATTTCAAGGCATTTAGAAGAGGAAGGGATGAGAAGATAAGTTTTTCTATTTAAACATAAAAAAACAGCATTTTAATAACAGCTAAAGGTGACATATATACTTTATTATGGTATAGTATTTAAGTACAGTATACGCATGAGAAACACATAATATTCTATGTATATATACATA